GGCGACCGAGGCCCGCGAGGAGTGCGAGCGGGCGCGCCAGGCTGCGCAGCGCGCACGTCAGGAGGCCGACGAGGCCCAGCGCGACTACGAATCGCGGCTCGCTGCCGAGCTGGCCAAGGCCGCCAAGGACCACCAGCAGATGGTCCACCAGATGGCCGCCGCTGCCGCTGGTGCCGGGCCGGCCGTCAACAAGGACCACCACCACACGGCCGCGATGCCGATCGGGGCCAGCAAGTACCGAAGCGGTGGCGGCGTGGTGGCCAGCGAACACGGCCGACGGCTGGGTGGTGGCTCGGGCGACTTCGCGGTGCGGCACAAGGATGCCGACATCGCCAGCCTCCAGGCTCTGTTGGCGGCCGCCGAGCGGGCCAAACGTACCCACAATCCTTCTCGTGTGTGTTGCGTGTGTTGCGTGCGTCGTGTGTGTGTCGTGTGTGTCGTGTGTGGTGTTTTTGACGTATTGGAGCGGCCCACAGATAATTTGGAGGACGAGCTGGTGGCGCTGACGTCCTCGAACGACGCTCTGGCGCGGCGGGTGGGCGAGCTCGAGTCCATGGAGGAGCGCATGGCCGAGGTGCAGCGGCGCTACGCCACTGCTCTGGAACTCGTCGGCGAGAAGACGGAACAGGTCCGACACAACACAAACAAGTCATGGACATTACGTGTACAACGTTGACTACACTTGTTTTGTGCTGATCCACTCACTTTGCTGTTTGCTGTGGTGAACGACAACACCACTGAAGGTGGAGGAGCTGCGGGCTGATCTGGGTGACATGAAGGAGCTCTACCGCAATCAGATCTCTGACTTGCTGAACAAGATCGACGTCCTCTCCAGAAAGTAACCAACCAACCAAACACATCATCATTTTTGCCACAACAAACATACAATGTGTAGTATGTGGTCACCATCTTGGCGTCATCATTATTTAGGAAAAGATCAACTTCCCTAAAACGCACCACGCCCCTTGAAGAGAAGGTGAAGTTGATAAACAAACTCACGCGAGACCCGCCCATGAGGCGACCAAGAGGCCTCCTCGCCCAGCTGTGGCAGTGGCGCACGGTGGCCACAGTGCTGGGGCTGGTCGTGTGGAGCGGCCTTCTGCTTCAGAACCAACTTCGATTCGCGGCCAACAACAACGCCCACCATGGCAGCGGCGGCGCGGGGGCCTACCCGGGCTCGAGCCTTGCAGTCGACGACGACGACTTCGGCTCGCCCCAGCCGCACCTCACCACCTCCGACACCGCTACGGCTTTGTCCGGAGCTGTTGAGCGAGTTGACGAGGAGGTTGTGGAGGGTAAGGTGGTGGTGCGGCGGGTGGAGCGGGTGGAGGCGAAGGGGGTCTACAAGCCGTTCCGAACGGCGGTGGACCTGCTCGAGGAGGATCCCCACGACGTGCCGCCCCTCGTGCGCGCCTGGCGCCGCGGC